CAAAGGGTTCAGCATAAACAGAGAAACAAATATTGAGAGCTGAAGTGTATATGGCAAAACATTTTAACCGATGAATTTGGTTGGAAGGTGCATCCAACTTCATTGTATGAGCCTTGCCATTTGTCTGTAAATTTGAAAGCTTACTTCTCTGAGTTTTAAAAGAAGTTCAATGAAACCAAACGAAACTGATTTACCCCAAAGCTGTAAGATAAACCTTACCGTTCACATCATTAACTCTGTGGTTCACAGTCAGCGCTCCATAAAGACCTGTAGCACACACAAAGAAATGACAGACAACACAATGGACTGATCCGGATGCCATCGCAGGGTGTAGCCATGGCAGCATAACTCACCAGGAGTCTGCTGGAGTATGGATTTGAGGGACCCTTACCTGTCGTTTCTGTCCCTCATGCCCCAAAGTTCAGATGGCTCTGGGAAACACGGACTTTCTTCCGTTTCTGAAAATTTCGTCTCTCAAGACAATCTGAGGGTGTTGGGATCAGCGACCAAGCCCACCAGCCATAGCCATCACCCTCCCATTTTTGCGGTATCTGCTATTATTGCTTTCAGGCAGCAGGGATCCATCCCTCGAGAGACACTTACCAGGAACATTTTTTGTTCAAAGGATACAAACAGAGATGATGGCAACTCCAACATTACTGTCTGAAGCATCATAGGATGCACATGTAAGGCCATTCAGGCTTCACAGACTTTGATAAGCCCTGGGCAGGGGCCCTGGTGGTGGGCTGGTTATGGGTCGTGCTGAGATTCACAAAGTCAGCCGCTGGAAGCAGCCAGCAGCCTGACGAGAGAAAGTTCCAGTGTCCGACACTCCCGGGAGCAGGGCTACCCTGTCTTAGAGGGTCACTGAGTGGGAACTGACTCGATGGCAGAGAGCTTGGTCTAGGTTTGAGGATAGAAAGGGTAAGAAAGACAGCACATTGCTAGGAGCTAGCTACCTGAAGAAGTGACTTTGTAAGCACACTCATCTAGCTGATGTCGTTATCATATGGGGGTGGGGGGTGGGGCAGCCAATCAAGGGGGAGACATGGATGCCAGTCAGCGCTTGGTTCAAATTCCAATCCCTCTACTAAAAATCTGTGTGATTTGGGGTAAATCATACCATTTTTCTGAGGGCTATCTCCTCTCCACGAGCTGAATAACAGAGCTAATTACACCCTCTTTGTAGTAGAGTGTCGTTGAGAGGATCCATCAGTGTGGATGACCACAGAACTCCTGGCAGCTCGGCTCTTCACCGAGGGTTTGCAGAAGCTGGGTCTGAGATGTGATTTCAACCCCATTCCTTCCACTAGCACAGAGCTCCCTAAAGACCAGGCGACCACAAATGAGGCCTTCCCCTCTAGACAGAAGGGTCTTTGAAAGGCACAGAATTAAAGCAGGGTCTGTCCTTTCATGATGGGGCACAAAGAAGGCAATGGTCAACCCAGCAAACGTGCTCTGGAAATCAGTTCAACGGACTCGGAGAGAGCACTTTGAAGCAGCATACTGACTTGGGGTCCAAGGCAGAGCTAATATTTCAGCGACTCGACCGGTGGGTGCCCTGTAAGCCCGGGAAATAACCCAGGAAAGGCATCTGGGGAATCCCTAACATTCCCTGGAATTGAACTCAGCTGCCTGAGGATGATGACAAATTGCCCAGGTCCACTTCAAATCCATTTTCAGGAAGTCTGTGGGCATGACCAAAGTCAGAGAGGTTGCTGGGTAGACTGTGTGCCCTTAGCAAGATGTTGAAGGAGAAAGACCAGCCTAATAGTTTTTTTCTACAGGTTGAAATCCACTTGTCCAATGCAATGCCTGCTTCTTAATGAGGAGGGACACGGGATTGCAGGTTATGTGGCTCTGGGGTGAAAACATGTAGGCCCAAACCAAGCCAGTGGTCATCGAATTCATTCTAATTCACGGTGACCCTGTGTTTGGAGAGTAGAACTGTCCTCCACAGGATTTTCAAGGGCGATGACCTTCCCAAAGCAGGTCATCAGCCTCTTCTTCTGACGGAGGCACCTCTGGGTTGATTTGACCTTCCAACCAATCAGTTATTGGGAGCTCGGAGCTTAACCCATGAACTCTTCAGACAACTGGACTGGGGTTTAAGTTCTGGCATGATTCTGCCGTAGATTGGCACATATATGTGAACGTAGGAAAGTGACTTACTTTCACAGAACTCAGTTTGTCTCTAAATAGTAACACCCACTGAACAGTTTGTCTGCAAAGGTGCAATGCACCTTTGTGCGTTATTCCATGACTGGGCTGGATGCTATAAGGGCTAGATGGGGAAATCCTGTCCTTTTCCCAACTGAAAGCCAAGTTGATATTGGCTTATTGAAGCGTGAAAACATCAGTGCTACCCATTTATAAGCTTGGTTTACTACAGGGGACAGATTTAAAGGAAATAAGATTCTTTGAAAGGATGGGCTGCCACTCAGCTTCAAGGTGTCGAGCACCCTTGAGGAAACAGGATTTTCTCCCCCTGGTCTGGGGTGTCCCTCTATGGCTTTCTTTCATAACTGCAGTGGACACGGCACAGCATACCTCCGCCCATTGATACCTATCGTCTTATAGGCATTCACATCTTTTATTCTCAGTAAGTTTTGTGGCCTTTGATTGTGCTCAGAGAAGTCCACGTGAAAGTCAGGGTGTTGGGCACGATTCAGATGCCAAGTAAAGGTTTCAGAGAGTTAACTATTGACTCGCCATAGAACTAGGGTTACCAGCACCTTTTCATCTGGCTTCAGTCGCTGGCAACAGCTAATTAAAAAACATCCATGGGCCCACGCATTCACAGTAGACTTTTCCAGGGAAGGAAGAGGAGTTGGGGTGTCTCTGTGTAATCAGAGAGTGTGTGCAGGTACATGCTTACCACTCAGCTCTCTGGGGAAGGACTGCCCTGTTTTATGGTGTTCGCCAATTCCCATGGTACAAAGACTCGGGTTGACATCAAGCTACAAACATGATGCCAGTGACCATGGAGCTGGGAAGAGCCGCATTCCGTGGTCCTTCATGAATTGACCGGAGCTGGCATCATATCACAGGAACCCTGGTGGCACAGTGGGCTACACATTGGGCTACAATCAGGTGCTCGAGACCTCTGCCGGAGAAAGATGAGGCTTTCTACGTCCGTAAATGGTAGTTTCAGAAAACCACATGGGCAGTTAGACTCTGCCCTCTAAGGTCCCTATATCAACTTGATGGCAGCGAGTTGAACTTTGATCTTATTTACGTGGATGCATAACCAACACTCACGGAAGCAGCTGTTGGGATCAAAGGATGTATTGCACTCGGCAAATCGGCTGCGTGAGCTCTCCTTCAAGTGTTAAGGAGCAGAGATGTCACTTTGTGAGCCTGACCCAAGCCATGGCCTGGGCACTTGCCTCACGTCCATGTCCATGGTGGACGATGACCTCCTTCAAGTGTTAAGGAGCAGAGATGTCACTTTGTGAGCCTGACCCAAGCCATGGCTTGGGCACTTGCCTCACGTCCATGTACATGGTGGACGTGGACGATGACGAAGGAAGGCCTCAGAAGAATGGATGCACTTGGATTATGTTGGTGTTGGCCAAGAATTAGGGCAGTACCTCGGGCTGCGAGGAGAACAATCAAATCGGTCTTGGGGGAAGTACAAGCAGAATGCTCCAGAGAAACTTTTCATCTCGCCTATGAGATCTCATACGTTGGACATGTTATCCGGAAAGACCAATCCCTGCGAGAGGAGCTCACACTTGGTGGAAGAGGGCCAGTGAAAAAGAGGAAGTCCCTCACCTGCATGGATCGGGAAGTGGCGGCAGCGGTGAGCTCACGCAGCAGCACTGTGAGGCTGGTACAGGGCTGGGTCGGGCGGGGTCACTAGGAGATGGAGAAAACTTGACAGCCCATCCGACAGCAGCAGCTTCAGTTGACCACTGGAGGAAGGGGCTACAGCCCATGGGCATGGCATACTTTGGAACCGGTTTACTTCTGTTATGTGATTACTTTTATCATACTAAAGGCTATATATCCTTATACACATTTGTATAGACGCATGTAGGACTCCTGGTGATGTAGTGGTGATGCATTGGCCTGCCAACCTCAAAGTCGGTAGTTTGAAACCACTAGCCGCTCTGCAGGAACATGACAGGGGTGTCTACTCCTGTAAAGAGTTAGGCTCGGAAACCCACAGGGGCAGTTCTACGGGTCCCCCAGGGTCCCTTTGAGTTGGGACAGACTTGACGGCAGTGAGTTTCTGAGTTACATATGCAGGTACCTATCCATCATATAGACATAATGCTCGTGTGCATGGACTTCCATATGTGAGTATATATATGAATATATAAACGTATGTATATCTGTATAAAGGCGAGTCCTCATTGCCGTTTGCCTCACCTCTGTAGAAAGAAAGCTGAGTGAAGCATCCACGTGAGCAGGTAACACGCCGAAGGGCTGCTCACGGACCTGACTGTTTGGGGTCCATGTAACTACCGGGACAAAGAATGGGCGCCTGCTTTCCCAATACTCACCTGAGGGGTCTTAGTGGCCTGTGTCTGGGCTGTAAAACACCCGGCCGCAGGGCCAGGTGGCAGATTTGTAAACGCTTTGAGGGGAGCCGAGGATACAGTACGGTCTAACTTCAGGGCCGCGGGGAAGGGTATACGTTTAGATGGTGACAGGGATGAACTGCCGCCGCGGCCTTTGCTCTCTGACCCGAGCAGTGCCAGGGCCTGGGCAGGAGTGTCTTACTTTCCTTTATTGAATGCAGCTTGCACTGGTCACATTCCAACTCAATACAACAGCCCAGCAGAGGGTGGGGCA